TCTCTCTCTCTCTCTCTCTCTCTCTCTCTCTCTCTCTCTCTCTCTCTGGAGGTGGAAATCCGCGCACTCCCCTGTATACATACGAGCTGTCGGTCCTCCACTCCACGATGATTTCCCAAGCCGCCACCCATATAAATAATATAGGTAGGAGTCTTTATATATTTCTATGCCACCACCAAACACAGTAACGACCTCTATAGTGTGTGCTCCTTACTATCCCGCCAACTAGCAAACCTCCAACGCTCCAGTTAATATTATAATAATAATAATAAAATAATAATAATAATAATAATAATAATAATAATAAATTTAATAATAATAATAGTCGTTAGTTGTGATTCAGATCGATAATTGATCAAGTTTACGACATAATTAAGTCTGACCATTTATCTCTATAATTCCTAATAAAATCGATAATTGATTAGGTTTACGGCACTAGTCGGAGCAGCAGCGAAATACGCCGAGTACGGCTACACGTTGTCATTCATCCGTACAACGACAGACGTGTCAAGATGGCGTCATGCGGGTAGTTTCCGCCATCTTGCCGCTCATTTTACTCTCTCTTTCGTCTCAGCACCCGAAAACTCACGGAGCTGCATGCTTACGAGGTTTAGATTTTCTACTTTTAAGTTATTCCTTCTCTCAGACAAAGAACCGCGGGCACCGTTGTCAAAAACAAAAGTTGTCTTAACCTTAGTCTCACCATTAACGTTTTCTCGCAGGCTATTGTCGGGAACAAAATTGCGAAGGGCGCTCGCGAATATCGCTCGCGTTTTTAACAGCTTTCGGACAAGAACGCAACCTTGGGCTAGCATCTCGCTACACCAATATCGATCGTCACTATCATGCGAATAATATTCTAGTCTGGCGCTGTATATTTCCATGGTTGGACATCTATATGCATACCCACCGTGGCGTTCTTCATTTTCTACTGTATGTGTCCCCACGGCAACCATTATTCTTATCGCGGTTTGGTTTTACGACAGGCTATAAAATATCAATGGTAAAACAGGCGTTTTCGTGTCAGGCGTTAAAATGCTGATGTCAGCAGCGCGTCAATGCTAATGTTAGCTGCTGCTGCTGCTCAGTGGTTCGCTCATACAGGTTCAATTCTGCTTGTCTCCCCAAGCCTGCCTAATTGTGCACCACGTTTCAGCTGTACGTGTATCTATAGCTATAGCTATCTACCTCTCTCTCTCTCTCTCTCTCTCTCTCTCTCTCTCTCTCTCTCTCTCTCTCTCTC